CTGGTTCTGCTTTCTTCCATTTGAAGCTGCCTCTGTCTATTTTTTTAATCTTTTTTCCAGTTTAATGAGCAGCATGCCTTCTTAGAATTGCTGTGAGATTTTTTTAAACGTTTTATGCCAGGCTTACATTTTATGTTGCCTAAACGGGGCATTGAATTAGTAAAAAACGGAGCTTTGACAGAAAACATTTGATCCATGAACTTACATTGGATTTGATGTCAGCCGGGTGAGTACAGCCTTTTACATGAGGGTCCAAATAATGCTCATTTTCCTGTTAGCAGCTTCTTCTCATTTTGTGCAAAACGTCCAGTGTGAAAACTTGCCGAGATGGAATCTGATTTATTCTTTTGCTTTATGTTTTCTTCTAATCGGTGGTGACACTTGCACTGCTTCTGTTAAAAACTTCCGGATTTAAATATTCCCCCAAAAAGCTTCATATCCAAATATGAAAGGCTATCGTTACATGCTGACTGACCCATAGTTATATAGCATGGCATTTGGGTTGTTTAATGCTTTAATTAAGCTTAATACTTTGCTTAGTCCCTTTTTTTGGTCGTATTTGTATCTTTCATTGAGGCTTGAGGAACCTTGACCTGCGACCGGCAGCTTTTTCTTCCTGCCTGAGTTTGACACTTCATTTCCTCTGAGCTGAAGGACTCCCTTCAGGAAGTGTTGCTCATAATTACTGAAAAGATGTCCTCTGTAAACAAAAAGACTCGAGTGTTTACTATTAAACCGTCTCCTTGCACTCTGGCTGGACAGAAACCCCGTCATCTCACACGACTTGGCCCGCCGATGCGAGAGGTCGCAGAAAAACTGAATCATTCAGAGACGGATTCCTCTTTAAGAATGCAACAATACAAAAAGTTTTAGAAACATGCTGTTTTTTCATTTTTTTATGCTGTGCCCCCCACACCACATTTTCTTACCAAGGCCATTTGTCCAAAGGATTAAATGAATGAGGAATTTATAGTGCGAGATGAGGAGGCCGCCCCATTATAAACTGTGCACCCCTTACTCCTCAGAATCTAAAGAAATTTGTAATTGTAAACAATATTGAAATCATTTAAAAAAGTGTACCAGGTATACTTTTCAAAATTATTTAAAACATTAGGGGTCACCACAAATGTATGAAGCACTGATTCTGATTCCCTTTGTCCAAAGATAATAAGGAAACAAACTTTTATGAGAAGAATAAATGGAACTGTCCATCTAAACAAACCTTAACCCCGGGTGTGCAGGTTAAAGGGGACTGCTTATCTCTGCTTGTCAAAACTAAACAGGAATAAGGTTTCCATGATGCAACATGACACAATATGTGATATTTATTAAGTAGCATGTTTACTCCATTGTGGCGCGGTGTGATATTTCCCAGCAAAGCAGACACAGATAAAGTAAAAACCTCAGTCCTCCATCACAGATCACACAAACAAAGAAGTAAAAACACATATTCAAAACAAACAGCGTTTTTCATTTTTTATTCTTTTTACTCGCAGACAAAAAAAAACAAACAAAAAAAATCCATGAAAGTCCAGATATAATAAATAAATTAACTACTAAAAGCGGTCGGCTAATAAAGCAATTTGAAAAAATGGCGGAAAAAGCAGAAGTTTGCTAAATTACAGAGCTGGCGAGGACTCGGCGCCGCAGATGAAAACCATCCCAAACCAAACGCTGATGCCACGGCCCACCCGCTCTCCACCGGCTGATTGTTCTTTGTGTGCATATCCTTACAAATTCAAACAGGAGGCGACGGCGAACAAAAGCAAAGTGAAAGCTTTTTTTTTTCCTTTTCCTTTTCCAACCCACCAGATATGAAAAGTTAAAAAGTTAAAAACCGAGCCAAGTGCTTGTGGTTTATTGTCCCTAAATTATTGTCTGTAATTCTCGAGGACAACCTGAAAGATATAGTTAACAAGTTCACCCGTATTTGAGCAAATAAATGCACTGACATTGCCTCCTACTACTTTTTTTCCTGCTCTAAAGTTGTTAACTTACTTTGGTGGCAAGGACAAAAAAAAAAAAAAAGGAAAGAAGCAGTCTGGATAAACAAAATTGTCATTGTGTACTTGTATTTTCATGCATACAGTATTGAGTTCACCTGTAAAAACTAAATGTCACAATCTTACTGAGCTGTAGCTTAACTGACTGAGGTAAAGTTGCTTGTTTCCTGAAGTAGAGCAGAAGTGTGTGTTTGCCGTGTGTTTTCTGAACATGAACACAGTTTGTGTTAGTCCCTTTTTCATTTGTGGTCTAGCTTACTGTTTCCAGAGGCTTTGAATGGCCTCCTGGGTAGCAGATGGTCTGTGACTGAACTGCATCTAAAAACACACAAAGATGAATCTGAACAGAGCTTTAAATGTAAATAATCTATCAGAGCTCGTATTTAAATAGCCATTTTACAGGTTTTTTTTCCAACGGAATATGTCTCTTTTTCAAACCTCCAGATGTGCAGCCGAACATCTGCCTAATGTTAAGTGCAAGAACTTTTAGGATTTTTACATGTGGACCATTTTCCAAACAAAACAGAGCTATTTTTAGCTCTTTTTTTTATATCTGGCAGATATGTGCTGAGTTTTCATTTCCTTGCAACCTAATTTTCCATAACATTGTACAGTTTGGCTTACAGCTGTTGGGGGACTGTAACCTTTTTTTTTTCTCTTTATCGGGAAGTCTGCAAACTAATTTCCACTTCGTTTTTACTTTTAAGCAGGAGCAGTGGACCCATGTGAGCCCAGAAGTGCACATACATGTGGGAACAAATCATTATCTGTGTGTGTTCTGCTTGACTTTGGTTAATTTAAAAAAATCTTTTCATTCAGGTTTGGTTGGAATAACAGTCGGATTTTATAAATATACTTAAAGTGAATCAAAGCACACGTTTAGGTTGTGTGAGAGGGGACACTGTCTGTCGGAACTGTACGGTGAAATGGAAAAAAGGCCATGTCAGCTAATCAGGGCAAATATTTCTGAACAATTATCCCCCAAAAAAGTGGGAGAGGTTACTGAACGGAGGAGCGTGGCTGAGACGCTTGCTGGCTGTGAGACCGTCTGTGAAATCGCTGACAGTCTCCAGCTAAACAAACCTGCTCCCAAGCTTTAGTCAAGAACAGCAGCATAAACCGCACCCCGAAATCCAAACTGCATGAAATCAGCAGGTAAATCCCCTAAAAAGGGCGGATCGGAAACATAAGCTCGAGGTCAAATGGACATATTTGTACAACTTATCCAATTAAGAGATTCATTTCAAATCTAATTGTTGACGAGTTGAGAAGATGTTTTACTCTAATGTTTGTTGAACTTACCAGGATAGTCATTACTGGTAACTTTAAGACATGTTTGTTATGAGCTAACGGATAAATATTCCCTGGTGACAGTATACATGATGAGAATTATTCACTTAACCTCTTCTTGATGTTTTTTAGTAAAATTGTTATTTCGGTTATATTTCTGGGCTCACAATGCGCCTCCTGTGTTTTGGGTTTTGGCTCACAGACTGATTAGATGTCACTGAAACAGAATGGACCCACAGACCTGCAAATATGGAAAATATCACTATTTTCAATAGTTTACACAAGAGCATCAGAACAGCATAATGGATTCAGCCTCCATTATAAGAAAAGTTGTGAGGACTGTAATAAATCCCTTGGAAAAATACAAAAAGGTTAACATTAACGTTGGCATTCATTCCAGTGCAGTTTTTTTTTTCCTTATTCAAAAACAAACTTAAAAAAACAGAATGGCACTAATTTAAGCTGTCTATTCACAGAAAACGGAGGTTTTTGAAACCCTTTGCTTTAGCACATGGTCTGTTGGGTTTGAGTCATGGACATTCCCCCTAATAAAAATGGGTCACGGTTCCTCTGGTTTGAAGAGAGAAAACCATTCAAAGTCTTGTCTATTTAGAAATGGTTTTGATTTGTTTTTCCTTTATACAAACATGAATTTTGTTTTGTTTTCTTTTTTCTAGGAAAAATGAAAGAGCCTGTTATTGGTTAGAAGCAACGCAAGAACTCGGGCTTTGTCCTGCATGTTCTGCTGGTCCTCAGAGTTCAACAGCCAGAACAAACTGAATCCAAACATGTTTTTCTTTAACTCAACTCCTTCATCTCAGTGATTCTCAGCTGAGTCATGACCCAGAATTCGTCTCGAAAGGCACAAACTCATCGTTTAACATCACAGGACCTGTCTGAGCTTCCTGCTGCCGTCTCTGGGTCCCGCGTGCCAGCTGAGAAGCACTGACATGCATTGTTCTTTGTGCCGTCTCCACATTGGGGAGCTGATGTTGAATCTGTGGAATTGGAGAGAAAAAAAAAACATGCATTTAATTCATCATCAAGACCTGAAACACACGTTACAACAGATGCAGATGGTGGGTTCTGATAGGCAGCGTCTGAAACCTCCTGGGAGGTAATAAGCTATCAAACAGGTACACTGTTGGGAATTAGAGTACATTTTCAGCCAGAGTTTTGAATAAGGACATTTGCTTTCACACTAATGCAAACTGGGCCTTCGGGGTGTTAATGTAGACAGCTCGAATGAACAAACGGCTCTGGGAAAGCAAAGAGAAGGTCTCAGTTCTACTTCAAAAATCTTTTACAGAAGAACAGAACGGTCTGTGCTGTGCTGAGTCATCAGTGTTTCTTCACAGAGATTAAGATGAAATTAAAAAAGTGTCATGTTACACATTAGAGTGACCTCCTCCCTCCCTAGTGTTGACTGTACGAGCACAATCGGCCACGAGTAAAAGCCCACGACGTCATCCAAAACAAGTACAAGAGACACATGCTCGCTGAACATGCCGGACCTCCGCTGACTGACTGAGCTCATATTTAAAAACCTAAAACACGTGGAGAAGTGAGGTTTCGGTTTCATTCGGATCCGCCCTCCCATCAGTGGAACTGGGAGAGAGGGACCGCTCCCTTCATGACTGAACATGCGCTCACAGGAACCGTGTGTGCTGCAGGTAGAAGCTCTGAACTTCACACTCACCCGTCCTCTCATGTCTGCTCTTCTGCCGGAGGCTCTGATTGGCTCCCACCTTCAGATTCCGCCTGGACTGAGTCATCCTCCTCTTCGTCGGGGCCCTCCTTCTTTTCCTCCCTCGTAGAGTCCTCATCCCACGCCTCTTCTCCTTGTTCTCTCACCTCCATCTCTCCTTCACTGTCCCCACAATCTGCTGCCGCCACTCCCTCTTCCTCCTCGCCCTCTTCCTCCACCTCGTCTTCCTCCTCCCCCTCTGCCTCCTCTTCCTCACTGAAGGGCGCTTTGCCCTCCTCCACCCTCCTGGTGGTCTCGGAGAACCAGTCTCTCACCTGTTCGTAGCTCATGCTGGACTTTGTCACCAGGTCATCCAGGTCTTTCTCGCTCAGGGCTCTGTGTTTGAGGTAGTAGTCCTTCAGAAAGGCCTTACCCGACTTAACCTGCCGGACAGAATCAGTGTCAGCAATCTGATCGGGAAACAAACATGCAACCTTACAGAAAAGGACATTATGCCAACCAACGTAACCATTTTAAAGCTACAAAGATACAACATGATGTGTAAAGCAGAGTTTTGCTAGATCCGTCCCTACTGTGTCCAACGTGGAAATGTACCAAACCTAAAACATAAACAGATGTTTCAAAATGACCCAGTTCAGTCAATGCTGTTAACAAAAAACGAGAGGATAAAAAAGAAGCATGTCTCAGTGTTTTGTTGTGTACAAAATACACACCAAAAAGTGTTGATTAGAAAGTCTGGAGATGTGTTTGATGAATTAGACAGTTTAAATATAAATCTCTTTGTTTTTAGTTGACTTTGCGTCCTGTTGTACTCTGTTCGTTGACTTTTCTGAATATAAAAACCGGGCTGTAGTTTCTGTATAGAGGGGCGGACGAACCCTCCCCATTTGCCTGGATCATTGACTACCTGACAAACACAACTGGACTGGTAGAGGAAAACTGTCCTCATAGCAAAGCTTCTTTTATCTCTCAGCTTCTGAAGATCCCAAAAACGTGACTGCTGTTGTGGCTACATTGCTGACTTTGCCCTTTGGCCACACACTGCACCAGGTCTGAGCAGGTTCACAGCCCTTTTGTGGCCATGTCACCAGAGGTAGAGAAAGTTCAATGTACCCACGGACCTTGATGACACCGGCGCCCTGCTCTGCCGAGCGTTTGCAGGGATAAGGTCGGCGTGTCCTCCTGGACCATCCCCGGAAACGCTTCCTGGACTTCTTCTGAACCTTTCCCCCGCCGTTCAGCGCCTCATCCACCTTACGGCCAACAGATAAGTTCAGTAAGTGCGCGTCAACGTGTTTTTGAAGAAGCACAAATATCAATACTCATTACTACTGGATTCGTCAACACAGTGATCACTTCTATTTGTAAAGAGAACTGACATCACAAGGCGTCCCTCATCACAAAACTAAGTTTCTTAAAGTCATCTGGTCACGATGTGGTGAGCATGAGCACCTTTCCACTCTGGTAGAGGTAGTACCACTTCAGGTTGCTGTTTTTACAGGCGTAGCGCGTGTCACCGAACCAGTTGACGATGTAGGGCCTGGGCAGGCCGCTCTCCTCCGCCATCTGGTCGTACTCCTCTGATGTCGGCCACTGTGAGCGGACAAAGGCCTTCTTCAAAATGTGCAGCTGCACCGGGGTCTTCTTCAGCACCTTCCTGCCGCCCGGTGAAGTGCCCTCCTGGCCAGAGGCGGGCGGCGTACCGGCCGCCCTGCCCTTGTCCCCTTCCCCCTCGGTGTCGCTGTCTTTTAGGGACACTTTCCGCCGCTCGTTGAACCAGGCGTCCACCTCCCGTCTGGTCAGCTTGGTCTCGGCGCGCAGCCGGTTCAGCTCCTCGTCGGAGGGCCTGTCTGAGTTCTGGAAGCTGGCCTCCAGAATGAACAGCTGCTCAGGAGTCTTTTCTTTGAACTTCTGCGGCGTGAAGTCGGGGAAGGCGTGGCGGAATTTGACCCGTGGGTCGCTCAGGGGTCCCGACAAGCCCGAGGTCGGGGAGGAGTCGCTGGCGTCGTCGCTGGAGTCGATGATGATGGTCGGGGCGGGGTCGCTGCTGATGCTCTCGCTGAGGCCGGCGAGGCTGGCCCGGCCTCCTCGGCCGCCCCCCGCCACGGCAGCTCTGCCGCCTGGGCTCTCGCTCAGAAGCAGGCTGTGATGGTCCTTTGAGTTCCTCTGGTTGTAGCGCGTGTCGCTGAACCACTTCTTTATGGCTCGTTTGGAGAGTTTGGTGACCTGCATGAGCCGGGATATCTCTGCCTCGGTGGCGAACTGCCTCCGGCCGTAGCTGGCCTTCAGCTCGGCCAGCTGCTCTTTCGACTTTTTGGGCTTGGTGGCTGTGGCATCCAGACCGAGTGGCGTGCTGGTCGATGACGCCGAGATCTCGGTGTTGGACTCGGACGCCGACGGTTCCGCCGCTTTGGGCTGGTTGCCGGGGACCCCAGCGACGGTGAGGGTGATGGGCGAGGCCACGGGCACCGCGCTGCCGTTGCCGGCCACCTGAGTGAGGACCAGGCCCGGCTGTCCGACGATCTGACAGGTCTGGAAGATGGACTGCAGGCCGTTGGCCGCTGCAGCCAGGTTGGCGGGGATGACGGTGATGGTCTGAGGGACGGTCTGCACCGTGCCGTTGAACTTTTTCCTCCTCGCCTCCTCCACCTGCAGACGGGAGCAGCCGACACATCAAAGCGGGATTTGACTCCTTTCTAACTAGCGGTAGAAGAAACGGAGTGTTTGTAGAGTGAAAGGCACCGACCTCCTCAGGCGTCCAGCTGACTCCGTGCTTCAGCCTCTGCGCAGAAAACCAGACCTTGATTTGCTCCTCACTGAACTTGGTCTGTGATGATAAGCCCATGATCTCAGACACAGAGGGATACGGAAACCTGTGGAGACAAAGAAAAAAAGATGAAACCCCAACAGAATGACACCATCTTAACATTGATGGGGACAGAAAAAAAAATGGATGATATCTCCAACTATGTGTGAGAGGAGCAGATGCTAAAGTTTTTTGGAAAAGATTTTGGACCAAATTTAGCTTTGACCACAGCAGTCGTCACAACTCAGCATGTGAATCCCTGCTGTGATGTTAAATACATTTAATGAAACAATTCCACTGAGGAGACCTCTTAAATATTCCAAATAAACATAAAATAACAAAGTTTGACGCCTTTTTTAAAATCTTTGTCTCCTCCTACACATGTGACTAAATCAAATCTCTGAGTGATTATTATGTTAAAAAGAACAATAGGATGTCATCTAAAGCCCCAAAAAGGTTGAGCGACTGTGAGGCAAAAAAGCGTGACGCAGGGCTGGAAAACAAAGGAATACTCTGTGTGCATACCTGAAGTCTGTGACCTCCAAACAAATCAGAAACACACAGACATAAGTCCATAAACGTGTGGCTTTAAAGACAAAAAAAAAAAAAAGAGGATGGCTCACACTTCCTGAACATCTACCTCTGTTAAGCCAGATGAATCTTGGCAGTGTGTGTGTGCGTATTGGTTAGAAAATTCCATCACTCTGAATCCAGGCAGCCTGCTAACCTCACTGTATTGGCACCGATGCTGTACCTACGTACAGCATCGGTCTGACCAGCTGAAGCCACTTCAGATCATTTGTTTCATTCAATTTAGGTGGTGAGTTTTTCTAATTCAGCCAAGGTAACTTTGGTTTACCGCCACATAATAATGTTGGGTAGTGCGCTCTGAGAACCAATCACAGTCTGAATGTATCATTTTGGTTTTCTATTCCTTTCTCGCTACTTTGTACAATCTTATGGGGAATATTATTGACGTGAAGAAAGGTTTGGTGAACAGCTGTGTTTTTTCCTGCTCTGGTTACCTGTTGTAGGCGCTGGCCAGCAGGACGTTGTTGTCCATGGCGGTGTTGTAGGTGGGGATGCTGCTGATGGGGATCAGCAGCTGCGTCTGGCTGCTGCTCTGCTGGCTCTGCAGCGCCGACAGGACCTGGGCCAGCGTGCCGGAGGGCAGGACGGCGCTGCTGCCGCCGGAGGCGCCTTTGATCTGCAGCATGTTGGCGCTGTTCACCACGATGCTCTGCGGGACTGCCTGAACCTGCACCGGTGCGGACACGGGGATGAGACACGGGGCGGCGGGGGTCATCGGGGCGGGCGACAGCGTGGGTGGCTCTTTGTTGTATTCATCGTAGTCTTCGTCGTCGTCATCGTCGCTTTCAACTTTGATGACGTCGTCTACAGTCATTCTGTGAGCGGTGGCGAACTTCTTGTGCTCCGGTCTGCTCTTAATCCTCATGATGGGGGTCTTGCTGAGGGGGATGGCTTTGCGGGACGTCTCCTCTGCCTCGTCGTCCTCCACTTTGACGAAGCTGCCGTCGAAAGTCAGGTCATTGACCGTCTGCTGGAAGATGGTCTCATTGTTTCGCTTCACCATCGTACGCATGAAGTTTTCCTCGCCCGGATGCAAACGAGCATTGTGGGCCTGAAGGGAGTCATAACTAAACACAGAAAATGATGGGTAATTGACTGAATATTATGAAGAAAAAAAAAAGGGTACAGCTAGTGGTCTTTCCTGTTAACATGTATGAGACTGACTGCAACCAGGACAACACAACTCAAGAGTAATTTTATGAAACTGACATCATTTTCCAAACTGTATAACAAAACATGGCGAGCAGGTATTCAAGCCCCAATGTGAATCCCTGAGCTGGACATATCCTAAAATCCTGGTGTGTGAGTGTTCTACCTTTTCGTGTGATAGTCACATTCCATGCAAACGTAGGAGGCGTTGATGACCACGTCAGGGTGCTCTGTGTCCACATGCATGGTGAACTGGTTGAGCTCAGATGTCTGGAAGCTGCAGTACTTGCACTCATAGCCTCCCTCTGTCATGCTCAAGTCCAAGTACTGGTCTGCCGGCACGTCTTGTCCGATGCTGGGGTCTTCGCATCGCTCCTCCAACAGCGCAGAAACCTCGGACGAACTCACAGCCCCGTTGCTGTCCTCAGGATCGGCGGCGGTGGCCACAAAGTCGTCCATCTCCTGATCCGAGTCAACAGTTTCTTGTGGAGGAACCATGCATGGGATGGTGGATTTCCTCCTGCTGGCCATCCTGGGTTCCAGTAAGCTTACAGGAGTGTAAAGTTAGATCAAGCCCTCCGTTTGTGCTTCCATAAAGAAGGATGCTGTCAATCAAAGTTTTTAAGATGTTATCTTTAGACCCTGGGAGGAAATAAGGCAAATGCTGATTAGTGCTGACATCTTGATGTAGAGCTTTACATCCAAAACGGTATTATTATTGCAGAGTACATTCATCTAACTCCCAAGAGCTGCAACTTAGCTCACTAATTTTCTGCTATTCCTCCCGCTGAAGAATCTCTTTATGCTGTTGTATAATAATCATTTTAGAGTTACACTGGTAAAAATCTCCTCTTGTACGTCTTTAGTCACATTTTATTTTGTCAATGTAATAAATAAAATTTTTCATAATGGCAAATGGGAGTCCTAACATTTCCAGCATTATAATTTACACCTTTAACGGGCTTTTCTTGAAAAATATCATAAAAAAACAAATTGCCATATAGTTGAAACAAGGACAATATGAATAATTTTCAATATACATTTTTCTTTTTTACACTGTCTTGGATGGACAACTGATTACTACAGGAAACATCATCTACTGTCAATCAAAACAAATGAAAACATTTAACAAAAGAAAGATTTTCCACTGAATGTCTCGTGTGCAAGTTAATGAGGGGTTCCTATAATACAAGTTCCAAAGACTGGAGAAAGATGTCTTTTATTCCACTATAATCATCCTAAAATTGATCTGATCACCATTCATAGGGACCACAGCTTTCAGACTAGGAAACAAGTGGATCAAACTTGTCATGCATTGTGGGAACAACTAACTGCAGGACTTGCATTTTTATCACTGTTTAAAAAAAAAAGAAGTATGCTGTTGCTACTAATAGAAAATGACTTGTGCAATCTAAACATGCACATCCTGTCCACCACTGGCAGAAAACGCAGACATGTTAACATCTCGTGTTCAAATGTCCCGTGTCACCACAGCTAGCTTTGCAGTCTGAGAAAAAAAAAAATCAAGGGGGAACATTTTCCAGGCTAATGTTAGCTAGTCTAACTGTATGACAACGGTCCAAGTAAACACGAGTGGCAGAGGCTCCGAAGCTAGAGCAGCGACCGCTAACCGTCCGCTGTCAGTTCCGCGTGGGTTTACCTGTCCAATGGGTTCATGCTGGAACAAACAGTTAGCTGGCTAACGGTTATAGCTGTGTAGCATCTCTTGGTTGGTCTGTTGATACGCAGTCTTCCGCCTTTTACCCAATTTCACCGAGGATCCCATCTGCCTTAACCGGACAGAGTGGCGCTCTAACGGCCGGACACGCGCTGACTACCGCCCGTTAGCTCTGGTTTACGTCAGCCCCGCTTCGGCTTGCATTGTGAACGCTGTTGCTTGGTTTAAGAAAAGGACAGCTTAATAAAAAAAGGCACCGATAGTTCGCTGCATTCAACGATAGCCATTTTTTGTATGCTGTTGGAAGTTACCGACCACTGAAAGGCACATCCGGTTTGAGCATTTCAAAATAAACGAAGCGTTATAATAATGGCAAATTAACACTGCAGCACTAAAACACAAGACTGAAGTGCAACAGCCAGATTAACAAAGCCCATGGGGAAAATACCTTATCAGTCTAAGCGTTCAAACTAGAAAAGAAATCCCACCAAGATCTTTGTGTAATACCTGAGCCTTAAATTCCTGATAACTGTGTTTTGCTCCTTCACAGAATGTGTTATGTTATGTTGACTTTTTAAAATACATTAAAATAAAGGTCACTGACTTGAGAGCACTTTTGCACTGTGTACAAAAATATCATTAATTCAAAAGATGAATTAACAATCGGTAATTGTTTGATAGTTCAGTTAAAACCAGGCAAGCTTCGTCAGAGATTTCTACGACAGGTTTGAGATACCTGGCAAACCTTTATTTTGATAGCATCCATGTGAACAGGAAGCGTTATTTAGAATCAATTTGTTCCATTCATTTATTTCTTTTTTTCCTCTACGTCAGCGTCAGGGCAGAGGGTTCATGTGCGTCCTTGCGACAGGCTGACAAGAGTGTGCGCGGCTTCAACTTGGCACTGCTGGGTAAAAGTAGGCCAACAAACAGTGTACTGATGGAGTGATGCAAGCTGGAATAGTTATAAACCTAACCAGAAAATCCTAAACATCAAACCTGGAGTTGAGTAAAGAGGGGAGTGCTGAAATACTGAGGACATAGAAGTAAAATGCAACCTCCCCACAAAATTCTAATTTATATGTGCAAAATTTTCCCAATTTTAAAACAGGTCTTTGCTCTAACATGTCTATTTATTAGAGTGGTCACCTGCTGTTATTCAGCAGGCTGATGCACAGAAAACACATCAAAGATTTGATTTAACCCTTTGCACTTTTATTAAAGGTCACATCATGATTAAATAAATAAATTAACACTGCATGATCATAAATAATTTTATCAACAAAAATAAGTCACAAGAATAAATATGAATAAAAGCATCTCAGAGAATAAATATTGAGGTATTTTGGAGTTTGGATGTGTTTCGTGAACGTACCTTTAGGTAAAAATGAGCATCTAACAACATTACATTTTAAATAAACAAGGGTTTTATTAGAATAACTCAGGAGAAGCTGTCGATGTCTGTCTTCATTTCCTGCGAAACACAAATAGAAAAAGAAGAAAATGAGTATAAAAACCAGATAGGGTTCCTGTTTTGGATGCTGTTTAACATGATCAATTTGCAGTTATGCTTTGGACACACAGCAGGTTCAGAGTTTTTCTGAGCCCCACAGAGTGTGATTTTTTAAATTTTCCTTTTGATGTAATCAAATCAAACAACTATATCACAAGTGTGCTTTTATTTAAAATAACTGTGGAAAACAGATAAGCTTTGTGTATCTGATGTACCTTGATGAGCTCTGTCTTGTTGTAGTTATTTCTGTGTCTGTAGATGCACTGAGCCAGCAGAGCATAAAGCTTCTCCAGCGGCTCCACCTCAGCACCCTCTGTTTTAGCCACGGCTCTGCTCAGTAGATCCTGGAAAACAACATTAATGACTGGTTGAAACCATCTCTAAACCATTTTGAGTGATCAGCTGTTTATTCCGTGTCTGTGGGAAGTCTCTCTAATTCGTAGTGCTGCTGTATAACAAGCTGATTTAAAATATGCCCATAGTCATATAGGATCAGCCAATCAGTTTCCAACATTCAACAGACCAGGGCTGTTTAAAAACCTGATGAATAATGAATGCTGGCCAAGAATAGAGCACATGTTTGAAAAACTCTGCTACCTGTCAGCTTCAGATTTGGTTTTAATATCAGTTTATAAACTCCTGCATGTTTTGGTCCTTTGTGTATATAAGATCAATTTTAATCCCATTAACTCCCCAGAGCCCTAATGCCCACATAAAGATGTTAAGTTACACACAAAATATCAACTAAAACCCACAGCGACAGGTTAATCTCCTATTATAGCCCTGGGAAACAGTCTTCCAGGGGCCTACGTGCCGATGTATCTTTTAGTTGAGTTTAATTGAATTTTGAACCACTTATTTGTCTTCTAAAGTCCTATACTGACAATATAATAATGACCTGACAGATATTAAGCTAAAAGTTTCCACAAATCACTGCTTTGTAAAATAGAGATAGACTAACTGGCTCTAATGAAGTAAATGACTATTTCCTCATCTGCTTATCTTTCCTTTATGACAATTCCTCATGACTCCCACATCACATCGAGTTGTTGAAAAAACCCCAAACTCTGTGACTCACTTTTAGTTTGTTATGATCGACTACCAGCGTAGGAGTTCCTTTTTTTAGGACCTCCTTAGAGCTGTCACTGCTGAACAGCTGCATTTGCTCCAGGGTGGCCTTTTTGGTTCTCTTCTCTTGCTTTCCAGAGTTCTCTGAAGGAGAGACATAGATAAGAATGAAAGGCAAAGTTGTTTACGTCTTTGTTTAATTTTTTAATGCGAAAGAGTGTTATTTATCAGGTCTTCTGTAAGGTGAAGACAATAGGCTAGCAGGGTCAACAATAATATACTTCTATGACATATTAACGTCAGTAATATTTAATCAGAATAAAACCAGAAAGCCTTAAGATGATGAAGATGCATGCATCAGTGGGAACTATCACAATTCATGTTAGAAGGATGAATGTTTAAACAATTAAAAATGACTACTTTGACTATTAATTTTAGATTTCTCAATATCTCATTTGAAACTGAGCCTGTTCCATGCAAAGCAGGCTCTCCTCTTTAAATATCTCAAGTGTCATTTTCTGAGATGATAAATCTGAAACCTTTTGTTCTCGGCTGAGTCTTGAGTCAGTTTGGCTCGATGCCAAAACTTCCGAGAGTGTTCAGAGTTCATAGCGGGAAGCGCTGGATGGTTAAAGCTTGCTGAGCAGCAGAAGCAGCACTGTAATTTCACCACCTGTCTTACTCTCTCATCCTCTGCTTTGAAGCTTAGCCGCAGTCCGCTGAAGGCCAGTTAGTAGGAAAAAGCACTCTCACTGCCAGTCCAGCTTCCGCTTCAAATCTTTGTTAGGCATACAGACCTAATTTCTTGAAACGACTTCCCTTCAGCATCTTCTGTCGGAATGGGGGAGATTTTGCAGGCCGCCTCTGCTGCCTGGGGTTCAGCCTCTGTTTCGGGGCCCTGCCAGTATGCAGCTTGTTGTGGTTGTCCCCATTCAAGAGCTTTCGGGTTCCTGATACAACGTTTAAGCTGCGATAGAACCTCTTCATGGTAGCAGACAATTGGTACAGCTCCCCATCACTGCTGTCTGACCAGCTGGATGAGCTCGGTCCAGAAAAACCATTGACTTCAACAGCTTCGTTTTCATCCGTGCTGCTGTCAGAATTGGCTTTGCTGGACATGGAGGAGCAGGAGGACGTGGAGGCCGGGACAGGAGGCTTCTTTTTCTTAGGTTTCATAATGACACCGGTGCTCCACTTGGATTTTCGACGTCTTTTGTAACGCTTTTTCTTACATGCTGAAAAGACAGTGGGATCGAGGGTCGAAAGCAGGAGAAAAAAGACACTTTGTCATTCAGGGACAAATAGAGGGCAGAGTGCCTTTGAACCTTCTTTACTTTCCACTTGATCTCCTCGTCTGCCTGTGACTTTTCCATTTCATCTGTTAACTTTATCTCTTCTCTGTCAGCATTGCTGTCGCTGCCTTTTGCTCTCCTCATCTGCTCTGTTGCTGGAGTGTTAAAAGACTCCGCGGCTCTCTGTGACTTGATCTTAACCTTGAATTCCATTTTACTGAATGAAGGCAGTGGTAACTGAAATGACCTTTTTGTTTTCTGATGGCAGTGAAAGGAAAGTTCAATTATCTGTTAATAAAACCGTGTTTGAACCTATGGTTTAAAAAATAAAAACCCTTTCATTTTGAGAGAGCCAATCTATTTTCTCGAAAATGAAGTCTAATCCATTATCATTTTCATTTGTATAAAAAGATCTAATGTGTTAGAAATGTAATATCCCAGGGTATTGACTATTTTGCTTGAATTTGGACCTGTTTAATTTATCTTGCTATTTTTAATTATTTTAAAATCGAATAATAACTAATAAAAGGAGGAAAAACAATCATGCACAGTTTGGGAAAATTTTGAAGACAGATTTTCAAATAAAAAACAAATACTTAAAATCAGTTTGTTTCAGCCCTGCGGTATGCTTAATTTCTACAGCTTTACCTCGTTTTTCTAAAAAAAAAAAAAATTTTAAAATTCAATTAATTATAAACAGTAAAATATATTTGCGTTTAAACTTTTCTTATATGTCTGTATTTTTTAATGAATCAGCTTAGAAAGAAAATAGTAATCAGGGAGGCAGTAACAGATACAGTGTTTTTTAACACTTACCCTGAGATCCAGGACTGTTTCTGGAAAACGCTGATCTACAGGCACCATTGGCCTCTTGTCGGCCGGTCCGACTGGATAGAGCTGCCATTAAAATCAAAAGTAGCATTTATGTTTTTGTTCTCCTTGCAGGGATTTTCTGATAAACTTTCTTTTTTTCCATAGAACTGATTGAATTCATTTGTGCCTTTATATTACTGGCTGCTAAACTGTGCTTCACTCTTAAACCAACACATCAAACTTGGAGGTAGAGGGGGAAGAAGAATCATAACAGCGGCAGGTTTCACCTCTGTTCATACGCGACTCTCTGATCTCTTCACAGACTCTCTCAAAGTCTTCGTCCAGCTCGTCTTTGATGATGGCTCGAATGGTGTCTTTCAGGGCGCACGCACGATGACGGATGTGTCGGTCTGACACACGTAGTTTGACACACAGGTTAAATGTGAGGTCACATTGTTATTACAACATTTTGAACACATCTCATAATTTCTTAGGTAAAATCTTATTCTGTTTAAACTTTTAAAATTACTTATTTTAGTTGACACATAATGGAGGCTCAATAAAGGGATTCTAAAAGTATTCTAAGCCAACACAAGCTACATTGTATACAATAGAAAGAACTGATAGTGGCTGCTTTATATTTAATATCATCATTGAAATAACACCTCTCACATCCAGATGGAAAGTGAACTAAAGTCACAGGTGATTCTATGGAGGCCTGTTCATCAGGGATGTGTGTGCTAGGAAGTTGTTGACTTTCTCACCCATTGGGTCGCTGTCTGGGTTGTACTCAAGAGCGTTCTTCCAGACGAGGTCTGCGTCTGATATGAACTCACTCACAGTGACGTATTTGTGCTCGTCAATGTTGGTCAGCAGTGTGGAGAGGTCCATGGGCCTCTTGATCACCATAAGGTAGTCTGGAACCTGAAGGAGATTAACAGGAAGGCTGTGTTGGGTTTCTGAAGATTTATTCAAAATGTTCATACAAAACATTGTTAAACTCACAAAAACTGAAATATGAGTCACTGAAACACAAAGGAGGAATAACACTGTCTTGTTGATACTTTTCACTTTATATCAGTTTTATTCTAATGGGACAATATCTGGCTCCTAAGCTAATACATGCTTGAGTATGCTGAGCAGGACGTTTGCTGAGGCATTTCAAAGATTAATCAGGCAAAATCATTCACAAACTTCACATACTTGTTGGCTTATATCATTCTTATTCCACCAACTGTGTTCAGCTCCATGGTTTCAGATGATTAAAAAGAATCCACTGACCTCCTCTATGTCCACTGGTTTGGTGAAGGCCTTGAAGCGGCGGTCCAGCATCAGACGCTCTGTGATGTTACGGAGGAACAGGCGAAGTTCTCTCAGCACGTCCTCCTCCTGCTCCTCCAGGCGAAGGAGCTCCTCGTCTGACAGCTGGCGAGGGAGGGGCAGTGGAGCCAAGGGGAGGATCTCCATCGCCTTAGTCTCTAATGGTTGAAGAATGATATGTAAAGAGTATTTAAATGCTCCCAACCGGTCCTTTTAACTAATAAAGATACATTTGAACAGCTCTGAGTCACATACGTGCTCTATTCATGGACGGTGGAGGCTCAGCCGCCTGGTTCAGAATTAGATCCTGGAAGAAGTTGGTTCTCTCCTGACGGGTTGGGACGCTGATGGTGTAAACTTCACCGTATTCCTCCCGAAAAAGACACTGAATCTGAAAAGACCAACAACTGTTTCTTAAAGTTTATCTCAAATTTAGCTTAGTTAAAAAAAATGCTATAAATAAATACAGGAAAAAGATTCTGTAATGAGCCCAGCCGAAACCCTCACCTCTGGGTCCAGTTCTTGATGCGGGGTGCTACAGGTAGCTAGGAGGAGAATGGGGGAGAAGGAGGGGATGCTGCCGAGCAAGCTGAGGAAAGAAGCCCTGAGTGCCAGCCCTGCAGTCTCCCACCACTGCTGCATGTGAGGGATGTAGAGGATGCTGGGAGACGTCCGTTTGGCCTCGCAGAACACCTGATCAGGAGACAGATCAACCTCCTATAAACCTACAGCTGTTAGCTTTCTATCTTTTTCTTTGCATAGTTGAAATAATGTCTTTCCAGTCAATGTCACCTGATATCATCAAAAGGGCATATGTCTTTATAAGATAAAAAGTTCAAATTTACATTGAAAACAAAGAAAAAAGAAGCAACATGTCATAAGAAATTCAACTGAAAAAATGACCCACAGTCATGCAAAATTGATTATAAAGTCCTAAACTTTCTGCTCAGTATGGCCGTATTAACTTCCAGACAAACTCTGGAACAGATATTAGTTGCTGTTCAAAGAGATGAAGAAAAAATGTCAGAAATGTTCTGCTTCCAGCTTCATGATTAGAAATATTTTAGCCATCCTCTTTTTCTTCAACTCTTATTTTGTTGAATGTTGAATGATGAATGTTTAGACAGATCAGGAATTTAAAATACCATCTTTACTTTAGGGGAAAATGGATATTTCAGTAATCTCTGGCACTTTTCAAACAATTATTTCTTTGGTAATGGGTTGAATATTTTTGGATGTATCAAGAATTAAATTTGTGCCCTTGAATGATGTATTTTGCAACGTCCTTGAAGTCTGAGTACAACAGAAAATCTATTAAGAATTCATTCTAATATGCATAATCAGCTTGGGTCCTTCGACAAAACCTAGACCACGAGATGAACAATGGCCAACATGACTAAGTTCCTACTCCTGAAAGGTCCAAATTTCAAACAAACCAGTGCCTGGTTAATTCGTGATTGCAGGCGCAGGGTAGAAGGAAATTAGTTTTTTTTATGGCTCATGGGGATCTGCAGTGCCCAATTATTGGAGCATAAAACAAAGTGAAATGAAAAATATTGTAGTTTTTTGCCAGCTCACCTGTGCACAGGCCTCTTCTGGGGAGGTGCAGCTGACTCCAAACAGCACTGCAGAGTCCAGGCTGTGGACAGTGAAACGCTCCAAAGCGTGCAGGACCGCCGGTGCCAGGTGGGAGGTTTGACCAGACTCAGGACGGCCTACCAGCAGCATCCGCGGGCGGTAAGACGTGGGGTTTTTGACAGCACTCCTGCAGAAGGCATCTCAGTGGTAAGGGGTGCGGGTAAAGGTACCAAGCCACTAGGCAAAATACTTTTAAAGTATTCTAGAAATAACCTTTTAGCCACAGCTTATTTTATAGGATACCAAGAAAGTGGCCTTGTACTCCTTTAAAAAGAAAGAAAGGTCTAGTCTTCAACTAATATTAAATAGACTCACCGAGCAAAGTGTAAGAAGTTTCTACCCTGTGAGATAGAGGGTTTTGATATGTTGGAGGCCACTGGACCCTCATCTCCTCCATTCAAGAGACCGTCATCAAAGACACCAGAGGTCAGATCTGACAGGTAAAAAACAGAAGACCAAATTCATTATCAATATGTAACTTTCAAACCAAGCAATAGAGCTTCCAGAGCGGACTTGACCTACTTGGCTCTCTTTTCCTCTTCATGCCCTGTTCAGCATGTGGAAACAACTTCTGCAGGTCCTCCAGGATGTGTTGGAGGGCGGTGCCCAACAGCGCATGAACCACCGGGGACAGCGGTTTGGCCGGAGAGGCAGCGGAGCGGTGTGAGGCAGGTGACATCTTCCTCATGGCTGCCACAAAGTCGCAGCTGCTGACTGAGATGGAGGAAACATCCAGCAGGAGCTTCTGAGAGGTGCCGTATATCTGCGGGTAGCGGCGACGAAGAGCGCACAACGCCGCCTCAGTGCACACCGCCCTGATGTCAGCACCGCAGTAACCTGAGAGATGGGGACAGTCGGGACATTTAGCGGCGAAGCAAACAATGCAGGGAGATCCAAACACTGATGATGCAGTGTCTCATACCAACACATTTCTCAGCCAGTTCCTCGAGGAAATCTTCAGACGGAGGAGGTTTCCACTGACGAGTGTGGATTTTCAGGATCTCTCTGCGAGACTGAAAGATAATTACGAAGAGAATTCTGTTTAAACCATGTGGTTTAAACAAACATGTTGAAGGCAGCAAAGTTGCTGCAGTGCATTTGTTGTGCACACAGAATTAATTTGATTTTTTGATTGGTTAAAAAAACTGTCATGTAAAATAACAACAAATATCACCTCTCTGTCAGGCAGGCCAAAGAGGAACTCCCTGTCGAAGCGTCCAGGACGCCGCAGTGCTGGATCGATGGAGTCCAACCGGTTTGTGGCTCCAATCACCACGACCTCCCCTCGATTGTCCAAACCGTCCATCAGAGCCAGGAGTGTTGACACGATTGAACTGCAAGGTTTGAATAGCATGTCAGTGATGTTTTCATTGTTGTGTTGTTACAAAAAAAGAGAAAAGTTTTCCTTGTTTGACTGAACCATCCATCAGCAAACAGAGGATGTAGTCGCTTTTGACCACCTGTCAGCTTTTTAAGAAGAGAACAAAGACAAAGATTGTATAGACCTGTGTATCTGATCCTGCCTGCTGGACCGAACTGGAGCCAAGCCATCTATCTCATCAAAGAAAATGATGGACGGACGTTTCATATATGCCTGGAGAGGAGAAGAAAGAGGGAAAAGCAACTGAAAAAAACCTGAGTTTCTCATTTTGTTCTGTGTTATCTTAATGATACTGCAACCTACAAAGATAGAGTGCCTCTGCATTTGTGAATTGTAATAAACAGGTATGGAACAAAGAGAATGAATTGATTGCTCTTAAGGGAAAGTAAAGCTTCTAAGCTTTTCACGACATTGTATACCTTTAACCAAAAACTAAATTTATTAATCTATTTCTCCATGATACATTAAAGATTTACAGAATTCAGAGTCTGAATCAGAGTCACTATGCTGGTGAAGGTGCTGGTAACAAATGGGCCGCGATGTGCCTAATAAACTCAAAGCAGACGAGTCCTGAATTAGGGTCTGCTCTGCAGTTAGCCAGCAGGGGGCAGCACAGTGATGCAAGAGGCTGTTACCTGTTCAAAAAGCAGCCGCAGCTGCCTCTCAGACTCCCCCACCCATTTGCTGAGGCAGTCTGCTCCTTTCCTCATAAAGAAAGACACTTTCCTGTTTCCATGGCTGCACTCATTGGCCAACGCCCGAGCAACCAGCGTTTTCCCAGTACCTGGAGGGCCATAAAACAGACAGCCTCTGGAGAGAGACATGAACATGAGTGTAACTTTCAATGACTTTGAAATTAAAGATACCCTGATACTGGCACAACTCAGGTTGGTTCACTTTAGATTTGAAAACTGGAAAAAAATATGATGTTGTTTTTTTATTTGTTTAACTATTTTTAATCCTAAAACTGTTCTAAACATGTGAATCTCGCTGTAGCTCTCTTTGTCACCTGGGAGGCTGAATCTTAAAATTATCAAAGACTTCTGGGTAGAGCAGTGGAAAGACAACCATCTCCTTCAGAGCTGAAATGTGACCCGATAAACCTCCTATACTCTCAAATCCCACCTGAAAAGGGGCCAGCAGAAAAGAAAGAGAGACTTTGTAGCAAATCAAACACACATTTGAAATTGGCAAGTTAGGTAAAGAAGATGGAAACACCATGAAGTTCTACACAGAAGTAACTCACCGATTGGTCGATGGCCATAGGATCAATGTCTGCCAGACCTGCTCCTGCAGCCATCTTGTCTCTGCGAGTACGAAGACTGAGTGGGCGAGAGCTATGAGAACATATGAAAAAACAGCAATGATGTCAATTACCCTCTGGGATTATTAAAGTATTTCTGATTCTGACTCCGATTGTGATTAAAGGAATTACGTGGCTCCTCTGTCCATTCAGGTATAAAGGATACGGACTTCATGCCAGGCATAAAAACATAAAAATATCAATTTTGTACTGACCTGCAAGAAGCCTTTTCCTCTTCATCATCAGAGTCGTCTTCATCAGACTGGTTGGACCAAGCACTCTGAGTGGATCTGTTCAAATAAATTAAAAAGTGAGAAGTCACAGGAAAAGGCATGTATGGTGGAATTGGTTAGTAATGATTAAGATAAATGGAGTGTCATGACTTTGTCAGTGGCTTTTTCCAGAAACTGAATATTTTGGATAAACTCGACAACTATTTTTTTTGCAGTATAACACAGAATAAACTACCTGAAGGCTCCTTTTCGTGGCTTGTTTGGTCCAGACGCACTGATCCGGAAGGTGCCCTTGAGAAGCTCTGTCAGAGAAAATAAAACTTTTGAATAAATCTGAAGTCCTTTCTAAAGTCATCAGAATACTGTAGGTGAGCTGTGATGATAGTGAAATATTTTGCTAAGCGGTCACATGGCAGATCCAGGTTTCACTCTACATCTTTTTCTAAGTCATAGTGAATATCCATCTGTGTAACTCTAAGACAACTGTGGTTGACATGGACAGGTTTAGATTTAGCATTCTTCGTCTTAATTTCGAAAACTTTCTGTGCAGTACTAACCGCTGCTTGGCCCCTGGTACAGCGACGACGCTCGGCTCAATTTGGCGTCAAAGTTCTGGTTGACGCTGGAGATGCTGTCTTCGTCTGCAGTCGTTCCACGCCCGCTGTCCTCGTTAACTGCACCCGAAGAGTAAAAAAGAGGAAGCTAAACGCTGTCTCTTCACTTTATTCTTGTACTCTGCTCAATTTCACAAACCATTGTCATCCTCGCTGTCATTGTGCTCTGGTGGCGTTGGCGTTGTCTTCTGGGCTTTAGAGTTGATCATCTGAAAACACAGGAAGAGGCATCTGATTTTAAACAAATAAAAGAGAGAGAGAGAGAGAGAGAGAGAGAGAGAGAGAGAGAGAGAGAGACAGACAGACGGACGGACGGACGGACGGACGGGCGGGCGGGCGGACGGCCGGACGGCCGGACAGACAGACAGACAGACAGACAGACAGACAGACAGACAGACAGAC